ACCTTTTGCAATGCTTGCCCAGGCCTGTTTTACTGTTCTCTTTGCAATTCCCCCGTTTCTGTAAAAGCCAAACCTGTTGCAAGGGAATTCACTATTCATGCAGTAAAATGTAGTATATTATCATTTCACCTCGCATTGCTCGTGTGCAGTGCTCTGGGATAACAGTTATTTCTGGATCTCTGCAAATCTACACAGTTACTCTGAAATTCCTGCTAATTTACCATATTCAAGAGCTATGATTGCAGCAGAGTGGTTAAATGTACTGTCGACCAGAAGAACATTTTCCCTTATTCAGTTTTGTCCGGTGGACTTCCATGATGCTTATTAATTGATAAAGATGGCAAAATAACTCTATTTTGCACATATCTAAATATATATTCAAATTTACCCTATACCTCCTATTATATGCATGCTCATCCCAGAGTAGAGAGCTACTATTCCTTTTGCAGAAGCAATCAGGAAAATGCGGCTTACGGTGTTTAATGATATCATCAGGGAAATCTGAATTCCTTTTTTTTTGTTTGTTTGTTTGGTTTTCTAAATGTGAAATAGTTTTGCTGACCTATCTTTAATCCTTTGGCCTTGAGAATGAGAAATTAAATTGTCTTTTCTCAGACACTTGATGTCAGCATCCAAATCAGGACTGTCTCGTGTGCAGAGAGGGAGAGCAAGGATTTATGATGTTCAAGTACTTGAGAGATAGGATCTGTTCTTCAGAGAGAAACCCATTTCCACAAATTCAGTGTGTCTAACTTAGTTCTGCATTTTTGATTCTTTTTTTTTTCCTCATTTTGCATCTGTTTGCATGAGATAACTAGTTTTAGGGATGACTGATCTTAAGTTCCTAATGAGCTGGCTCCAGGGTGTGGATTTTCATTGCATATTCTGCTGATTGGATGCTGGAAACCTGCTTGACCTTGCTTATGGTATCTTCCATAAAATAAATACGTAACACATATGATCCACCCTTTCCTCTTCCCTCTGCCCCATGTGAGGGGATGTGCCAGGGCAGGGAGAGCCCCTCAGTACTCAAACCACCACTGCTTTTCTGTGTAGCTCTTCCAACCGATGTCCTAAAATGCCCCACAAATGCCATTTCCCCTGTTCGTTTCCCCAGCAAAACACAACTCTGACCACTTCTCAGCCAACGCTTCTGGCACATCATTTCCTGCACTAATTCTTCTAAATTACCCTAGAGGCCCATAATAACATTTAAAGCTCAGAGTGCTGCTTCACTGTCCAAAGCGCTTCTGTAGCCAGTGCTCAAACCGACTCTCACCAGAGCCCTGCTCATGTTCTTTCTTTGCTTTCTCCCTCCCACAGCCTTGCATTGACACTCCTGTCTTACACACCGGTATTTTATGTCCTTCATTTCTCCTTTTGGCTTTTTTCCCCCCTTGGACAGTACTAATGCACTCCTTATCCATCATCCCTTGGTGCCGTGCAGCACCATTGGCACTGCTGCAATAAGCAGCCACACTCTCTGCCTCCTTCCCTCGCCTTTGCAAGTGCTGCAGGGCTGCTTTTGCTCTGGACAGCAGCAGCTGCTTCTTAATCTGCCCCTGCCCAGCCCGTCCCCCTTCCCTCTGCAACCTCAGCCAAGATCTTTCCATATTAACAGCCGGCTTCCCAGCCTGAGTATGATTTGAGCTGTGGCATCTCGGTACCCAGGTGTCTCCCATGGAGCAGGCGATGTGGCTATTGAATCCAGCAGTGTATTAGTGATCTGTTGCTGTTTTCCAGGGAAAGCTGGGGTTGCCATGACAATTGTGTGTCGGCCGAGCCTGTGTGTGCATGGCCACAGCATCTGCACACCTCCATCACTAATGCATTTATTCTCCCAGCCTCCCTGTTCAGTGGGGTGGGGGATGCAAAGATGTCCACGGTGGGATGTTTGAAGCAGCTCTCTAGCACAGTGAACAGCTCAGAGCCTGCTGGATGACACTCTTCCCTGAAGTAAATTATTCTGGGGGGAGAACTGGGGCTGGAGAGAGGGGCTTGATCTGCATTAAGTCATTCTGCACCTTCTCCCCCCTGCCAGGTTTGGGCTGGCAGGAGAAGCGCCGGGTACAGCAGCAGAGGAGCCAACAGAAACACTGCAAGCCACAGCTCATTTGCAAGCACCCCTGGCTGCTTATGAGAATCTCAACCTGAATTAAGGGCTTGTGGCACTGCTGCAAATGAAACCTCAGTCTCCTGAACCTCTGCCTGCAGGCTGTTGGTTTAGTTTGCAGTCACGGTCGCACAGTTTGTAGTTGTATTTCGTGCTCAGACAGAGCATCCCGGACCCTGAATCGGCACCTGGAGCTTCACAGCTTGGGCCTGCTGTCTCTGGGTACCACATGCCATTTGCTTGTAGTGGCATGGCCCCTGCTCACATTCTTATTTCTCCCTCTTACTGCCTCCTTCTCCCATCAGAGCATCTCAGAGGGGCTGTGCCTCCCTCCAGAGTGGCAGCAGCAGCAGGAGAGAGCCGGCAAGATGAGCTGCTCTAGAGCCACCTCCTTGACTTCCACCACAGGCAAGGACAGGGTCCCTGGTGGTTTGTGGCATTGCCATGTGGCAAAGCCCAGGCCTCTATTCTCCAGCTCAGGCACTGGCCACCAATCCTTGCTTTGAGATTCTGCTAAAAATGCATTGTTGTCATCTCTTCTGGGCATGGTTGGCCAGAGAGGAGGCTCCTCTGTCACCCAGGATCTTTCCACAGCACTGGGCAGGATTTCACCAATTCCTAAGAGCAGTGTAATCCCAATTCATCTTTACAATCTTGATCTCCCCCGGTCCAAGAACGACAGCCTACCAGCCTGCAAGTTGTATTGCAAAAACGAGCGAGGCTCCTTTGTTAGAGCCGCAGATGTTGTGCTGGGTGCTGCAAAAACAAAGCTTGAAAAGCAGACAATGCCCCAAATTTAAATAGACCAAGCAGACCCAGAGACTTCCGAGAGATGATTCCCAAGGTCATGTAGGAAGCCTGTGGAGGACGCGAGGACTGAACACAGATCTCCTGAGGCTCAACCACACTGTGGACTCAGGAATGTCTTTTCTTTTGTCTTCCAGTCCATTAGGAAGATCAGCTAATGAAATTGAATTAATAATGCCAGCTGCAACACCAGCAATGCTGTAAGAGAGAAAAATTTCACAGCACAGACTTAAAAGCAGAAGGCTTGAAAATGGGAGTAGGCTGCGAGTGCCATGAGAGCCCTTTGTAATGGGGGAGTGCAGGAGGTCAGCCAGAGTTTTAGGGTCTCTTCAGCTTTACTGATCAAATCTTAAAGGGGGAATGAAGATGTAGCAATTACCTCCCCCAGAGGAGAGAAACACACAATTTTAAGGTTCCCAGCAACTGCAAAAAAAGTAGTCCCACTGGAAGGAATCAAAAGACTTTTCTAGGTCAGTGGCAGGAATAGAGCCTTTATTTCTATGAACCTCACAGTTCAAAAATAACATTAAAGAACCAAGAGAAATTATCCCACTGAAGAAACCAGGAGTAAATCAAAACTGATTCTTATGCGTAAATCGTACTGTTGCCTGCAGTAATCAGGGAGCTCAAACAGCACCACAGGAGTCCTGGCCATCCCTGGGATGGCCTGTGAAGAGGGTCTGTGCCAGCTTCACTGAGACACATCAGGTGTTCAAAATTAAAAATTGTTTAATAACAATAGCGTCAAATCTAAGGACTTGCCCCCACCCACATGGCTCATTTACTAGGATTCAAGGAAAGGCCACCTTGTGCCAGGAAGGGAAGAAAGTGCAAATCTTACCTGATTCTTTCACACAATTATTTGACTCATGTCACGTGGTTACTGCTGAATACCTCATGATAATCTCAGCCTTTGAGAAAAAATGGCAATGAAGAATAGTTCTGCTGAGCAGAAAGTGAAAGAGGCAGCAGAGCAGAAGCTTAGCAACACATCTCAAAATCACGCTTCTTGTCCTCATGAACCACCCAAATATTTTGATTGATGATTTCAAAAAACCCTTCTAAACCCAGGCATTTCAAGACTCATAAAAGAAATTGCAAGGAGGCTGGAACATTGTGTGACAGGCCAGGACATGAGGCTTCTTTTGTTACGAGTATTCAGCTCCAGACTTTAATTGCACCAGTTTAATACCATATTGTCTTTTTTACCAGTTTATTGATTTCTTTTGTGGTCTGAAGACCTGAGAAAAAAGGTAATTCATCACTGCATTATATCTCCTAAGAGAAAATTCCAAAGACTTGGGGCAAAAGACAGCAAGGACAGAGCTGTCTATTTTCTACCTGTACTTTGAGTAGTGATGGACCTGAGAAAGCCATCAGCATCTTCCAGCTCATGGCCTTGCCACTTGATCTGACTCTGAGCAATTCTGCAAACCACAAAATGTGCAAGAATGAGCACAAGACAGTGAGAAGGATGAGAGCAGAGCCAGGATCTGGCCCATGCCCCTGCTGTTGACAGCCTCCTCACGAAAATGTAATTGCTGGCTGCCCTTGGCTTGGAGTACTCAGGCAAAAATTCCCCATTGCTCTTTAGAGCTTCGAGACATATTAATGCAACTTTTAAAATAGCATCCTCTCTATTTTTGTTGCTAATGCTAAGAACAAATTAGCTTAGAAGAAAAACCCAATGATCTCCCTTAATGCTATTGTTCTCCTAAAGTGCTAAGTGTCGGGATCTCACAGCACCACGCTGCAGATCTGGCGCTGCCCTCAATGTGTCCCACGGAGCGTTGACGCGGAGTGATGCAGAGCGCTGCTCCGAGAAACGTAATCAGTCCAAAGTGCCTTCAAAGTCACTGCTCTTTGAGCAGAGCTAGCAGTGGTTTCAGCTCTGCCTTTGGATTTTTAGTCATTAAATAGCCTTTGAAACCGGTGCACATTTCCAGCCCTGCTCTCCAGCAGAACTGTTAAGGGACAGCCCTGAAGTTTAGTTCCACGTGTGATCCTTCCCGTTGTAGAACAGTGGGTACTTCTGAATTCTTATGGACTGTTATGCCAATTCAAGTATATTTACCTAACTCTGACCTCATCAGAGCTCATCAGTGGTGCACAGGCAGGCCAGGTCACCGTGGAAGTGGGAGGGCCTTTGAAGGGAAGCAAGGTAGGGCTGGTGTCCTGATGCAGGACTTCTGGTGTCCCTGTAAGCAGCACAACCCTGGTGGCCCACACACCATGGCAGGGTGCTCGTGTCTTCTGCTGAGCTGCAGTCTGCACCCCATCCAGCCATCCCTGTTGTGGGTGCCCCGTCCCTGGAAGTGTTCAAGGCCAGGTTGGATGGCTCTTTGAGAAACCTGGTCTAGTGAGTGGCAACCCCCTCCATGGACAAGGGGTTTGGAAGTAGATGATTTTAAGGTCCCTTCTAGCCCAGACCATTCTGTGATTCTGTGGTTCTAAGATCCCTGCTGAGGTTGGAGGGATGGAAGGAAACAATCCAGCCATCAATACCCTACACGTGTGTTAACTTGGCCAGAGGTTTCCAGCAATAGGAGGTTAGGAAGGGCTGAAAGCAACCAGGTAACTCTATTTTGCTGAGTTCCTTACTCTACACATCCTGTGAACACTGGTCATTATCTCTGGCTGAGCTAATTAACATGCAAATACTGATGAGCCCACTTGGCTTGTGGTTGTGCCATCAACACTGAGCTTCATGTGACCTCACTAACACATCTTAAGACCTGCAATAATTTCAGTAACACCCACAGGAGAAGAGGGCTTGCAATGGACAGCGCCCTGAAGGGAAGGGAAGAAAATTCCATTTACTGCTTTTCATCCTGCTTCTATTTATGATCAGAGGAAAGTTCTCCTCCAACACTGCAGTGTCCTGTAGCTGATGCCAAGATCTCTGTGCATGTCTCATGCTTCAGATCCAGGTAGTGCCGTTCTTATTTGTGCCTTCCAGTCTGCCCAGTAAAGCTTGAGTTGGTGGTCCTGGTTTAGTTCTGGTGAAAACAAGCGGTTCTTACCCTCAGTCTATTGACAACCAGCTGCTTATTCCTAATTTTGGCTCACTACTTACTGAATGCATAATTTAAATTCTCACTGTAGAAATAAATTTTTTATCAATAGCCATTTTAGTCCTGGATCCACCAGGGCTGATTGGCACTTTTTGTGCACATCTGTGTAGTCACACATACAGTGTTATGTGTGAGGCACTGCCTCTGTCCCTCACCTGCCTCAGCTCCTGGGATAAATGAGTGCAAAAGCAATGTTCCTGTAACTGTGGTAAAGTGATGGGTTCTGGTGCCTATGAATTAAAATAGTTCTGGAAGCGGTGGGGGACAGTCCAGCCACATGGGCCAGGCCTGAAGTGATGCTCTTCCAAAGGGAAGTAAGAATTTAAGCAGCAGGAAACCTGATGATGTGGTTCATTTTGGTAGCCTGAAAGAGGAAATGGAGACGTGAAATCTGGGGCAAGACAAATTCCTACAAACAGTGAAAGCAAGGAGAACTCATCAGTGGGATGGTCTTAGTGCCATGGTCTAGTAACCGTGGTGGTAGTGGATCAGAGGTTGGACTTGATGATCTCAGAGGTCTTTTCCAACCTGGCTGATTCTATGATTTTAAATGTACATGGACCACTCTTCTGTGTAAAGAGAATTTTTCGTTTTTACCTGACTAGAAATGTGGTTTACAGTGAGACTAGGTAGAGACTTTTTTGCCTTCTCTCTCCTGTGTTGCTGGTGGTACGTGCCAAACAGCCATGAATTTCACCTATGCACTGTGTTTGGGGTCTCTCCGGCTTTTTTCCAAGTACTCAAGGATTTAGGAGTTTCATATGAGTGATGGCTCTGTTTTACATACACTGCTTTTAAATACCTTGTATGATGGATTGGTGCTGGGAACCCCATCAAGACAGTGTGCAGGGCAAAATGCACCAACAGGGATATTTTCTGCCCTTGCAAACAGTCTGAACCAACCAGTCCACACTTAGAAGTCATCCCTTGCCAACCTGTTGCCTCCCTTTTTTAGCAAAGCCAGGAAGAACACAAAATCCAGATTTGTGACATTGTTTGTAGATGATTTAATCTTACTATATGTGATGGCAGTTGAAGCCAGTTAGTTAATTATTTCACTGTTAGGGGACTGAAGATGCTGGACTCAAGCCTAAGCAAGTGTTTGGGGGGAATTTCAAAGACTGTTTAGAAAAATGAACAAAAGCTGTTGGCCTCTGTAATCCCAGCAGAGTTTCCTAGGCAAGGGGTAAGATCACAGTTTGGTGAATCTCTCCTTAAATTTTGGCTTTCTTCTAGGAGATGGGTTACCTGAGGGAAGGATAAGTGACCTACTGCTGCCAGTTGGAGGAGTTATCTGTTAAAGACTTTTGGTTTTTGGAGCCAAAAGAGCAGAGAGGTCCAAACTCTATTCCTCATTCTGATGGGTACCTGACTCACTGTGACTGTGATGGTGCCTGTTTCTATACCAAAAAAAGCTAAATTAAGTACAACATGGCTAAAGTAAGATTATTTTACGAATTGTCATGATCTAAAAGATCAAATACAGACTCAGAGCTGAGAGGTCCCCAGCTGGGGTTGTTCTGCCAATGATGACTGGACCAAGTCAGATACGACGTATTTCAGGTCACTCTTCAGTGAAATGGAGTGACTTTTTGGGGGAGTTTCTCAGTAATTAATAACCAGCCCAAAATCTGAAAATGCAAACAGGTTGGGTGGCAAAGCATTCCCCTCCCCTCCTTCCCCCCCAGTATTTGCCAAGTATGTCCATTGCTTAGTTATGATGTCTCTGCCAGTAGTTTTTTTGTGGTGGGGAAACTGAGGCAGGGGCCATGTCCTGCTAGGGGAGGAGTGTCAGGGAGTGTGTTAAAATTCACCTATTAGTGGGCTCACAGAAAGCACACATTTTCACAAATTGTCCTGTATACCTGCACCCCTACACCTCAAATCCTGGTTTATGCAGCATTTTGAGCAGTGAGTGAAGGCAACACTCACACCCTGAACACCCAAACCCAGGTGCAGCTGGCAGTCCTCAGCATCCTGGTGTAGCAGGGCTTGGCATGAGGGGCCACACGGGTCACCCTGTGCCTACAGGGGTAAAAGGGTGATCCCCAGTGCTGTGGTGGGTACTCTGCTGTTTTCTACTGTTTTTTAAAAAATAGCAATATGGGGGTTGCTCTGTTCGGGTCAGATCCTCACCTTGTTTTTTTCCTGCCTGCTCCCTGACCCCACCCAGCTGAGATGAAAGAGGGGGGGAGGGCATCAAATCCTGAAGGGGTTGGTGAAATTTGGCCCTTACAAAAGAAAAAAAGAAAAAGAAAAAGAAAAAAGGAGGAAAACACCAGATTCCATCACTGTCAAGAAATTTCTGGAACATGAATAGTCACAAGCGTAGAGACACATAGGAAACACTGCTCACCCTCCGCCGCCCCCCCCCCCCTTCCACCCACACCCAATTTGTTTTTTATTTCTTTGCCATCAGGTTGCCTTAACCATTTCCATGGCTTAGGGAGGCTAAGCCGCCGAGCGCAAGCTTTTGATTTGAAAAGGGACTGCATCCCCTTTTCAAAGGAGCCTGCTCCCTAGGGCAACCACATCACACTGCTGATTTGCTGCAGTGGAGACCGCAGCGCGTACAATATGCCCTCCCCCTCCGCCTGTGCTGCTTACAGCATCAGTCCGGAGCCGAGCGGGGAGACGGGAGCGATACCCACTAACCCACCCATGCTCGGGAATGCCTGACTGGTAACGCAGTGCCTCCGACGAAAGGACCGGCAGCTCCTCAGCTCTCCGAGATGCAAGCCAGTGCCGATTCCACCAAGATGGACTGTCTTTGGAGCAACTGGAAATGTCAGGGTATTATATCTATTCTAGTGTTGCATGCTAGAAGGACTGCATGGCAGAGGAGGCAAAGGCAGGATCCATCCATTTTTGCATTGTTCACCTGTGGGCCTTTGCATGCTGTTTTCTCTCCCTCCCCGTGAAGCTTTTCTTTTGGGGTAATTTGAGACAGAAAGATAAAAAGCCCTTAATTCTTTGAATGCGTTTCTCCCATCTCCAGCTGTCTCACCCTGAAAGCATCCAGGATATAGGTCCTCCCTTCCCACCTTACAGCTCATTCCCAAAGCATCCGCCCTTGCCGTTTAGCGGCGTCATTTCTCATCCTTGACTCCCTCCGTCGGGGTATCGCTGGCATGATTTCCTACCTTTCGGGCTTTAGGAAAGCCGGGTGACGGTGAATTGGTGCCCGCTGGGGCTGGCGAGGGTTGGAGGTGGTGGCGTTGGGCGCCTGGGTGCCTCCTGCCCACGGACACACCCAGAGCCAGGCTTAGCCTGGTGTCGACACAAAGAAAACGCAGCTTTAGCAAGGAGGGCGACAGCGCCAGGGCTCCGCGGGATTGCCCCCTGCTTCCTAGGATTGCTTTAAAAGAAAAAAAAAAAAAAACCAAAAAACAAACCAACCAAACAACAAACCATTAATCCTTTCATTATGCTGCCGAGCGCTCCGCTGAGCCGTTCGGGGGTGAAATGTTGCGGTGATGTTGTCTCTCGCTGCCGCGTAGGCGAAGGGAACAATAGCATCTCCCTTTTGGGCTGATTTTCAGCGTATTTTCGGCGGGTCGGTGTCTGCGCTGGGTGGGGCTGGCCACCTTCCCGGGTGCCTTGGACAGCTTTTCAGCCATTTTTAGTCGGGCTTCACACTTCCCAGCCAGCATCCAGCCTTTGTTTTGATAAAAGACAGTCTCTGTGACGCTGCTCGGTGGGCAGATTAGAGGGAGAAAAGCCAGCGGCTGATCCTGCCGGGCAGGCTGCTCCGGGCAGGCTTTGTTTGGATGTATTTTTTAATTTTAAGGTGCGTGTTTACGCTGAATAGTCAGTTCATGATGTTGACGCTGACAACAGGGTCCCTGGGAGAGAGAGTACTCCATAGCATCATCTTATTAAAGGGTCCAGGATGCTTGCACACAGAGTTTCATAAACGCAGCTCGATGCAACAGAAGCTGGAAAACCTTCCTAAAGTGTTTTTTTTGGACAGAGGGAGATCTCAGACAGGCACTTGTCTCTGGGGAGCTTGATATTTTTGCAGTCTCAGTTCAGCATCTAATTGTATTTACAGACGGAGGGTTTTTTAAGGAAGATGAGTATCTGGAAAGTAAACAGATGCACCTGTTAAATGCCAGTCTCCAGCAGCTCCAGCTTTCCATGCCGTTATCAAGGGCAAGGGTTTTCCGTGGGTCTGCCTGATTGATTAAGGTTTTACGGGAGAGCCACAACCAAACTTCAGGGTCTTTTCATCTGAGCTTTGCAGATAAACTTCCTCGTAGGGTGGGGCTTGGGGCTTTTGTTTGGTTTATTTTTCCCAAAAATGCTCAGTATTTTGCTGATTTTTATAAAGACATTGATTTGCTGAGTCAGATTGCTGAACCACCTGTATTTAGAGGCAAACTAAGCATTTTCTTTCTTTATCAGAAAAAAATATTTTTTTCGTAAATTAGAAAAGGGGAATAATGAAGGGCTTGCTGCTAGTGTATGATTAATAATAATAGTGGGGTTTCTCTCCTTCAGCATTTTCCTTTCTGAAACTGGTAGGTTTGCTGAAAATTAAATGACTCAATATGTCCCATGCTGGTTTGGAAAAAAAAGCCCCAGGTCTGAAAAAATCAACGCAGCTAAAATAAATCACTTGCCTCACTTCCACAGAATTTGCATTTTTTTTTTCTTATTATTGGGTGGTGCTTTATGATTCAAAAATGATCCTGTGGAAAACATGAAGTAGTCGCAGAATGTTATTTCTGTCAGTAAAATTCTTTGATCAGTCCAGATAAAATAGAAGAAATTTAAAATTCAGAAGAACGGAGACTCAGTTCATTGATTCTTTTAATATCTATTATTCATGTAGTCTCTGTCTCAACCCAGAATATCAGTTCCTTGCCAACCTGGAGTTGTATAATTTTTCCAGCTTCATTGTCAGTGGAATTATGGTTCGTCCCTGAAAACTCTGGAATGTCTGTGAGCATAACAGGTGCAGACAGAAACCTCAGTAAATACAGAGCGTATTTCTGCTGAAATTAAGGAGATACAACACTGAGGTTTACATAAGTTTTAATCACCAGACAGTCAAGCTTACAACTAGCTGTATCATTGGGTTGACCTTATGGTACTTATAACTGGGTGGGGATCTTGAGGAGCTGCAGAGACACTTGGTGAAGCTTTGGCTTTGCCCAGCTAGATCAATGTGCTGTTATTTTCCTTGCTGTGAACCAACTGCTGCTGTCGCATATGTTTAGAAATATTTCAGAGTGTTTTACCCGTCCATCTTGCAGATTCAGTGGGATTATAGCGATGGCAGATCACGATCCAGCCCTTGGGCGAGCGGGACTGTAATTTGGCCCCGCTGGGGGTCTGCTTAATTCAGAATATTAACATGGGTAGCTTTGGGGAGTCGCAGCCGACTTCCACGCCCAAGTCATCTCCCTGCACTGGAAGGTGATGCATTTGAAGCAGGCTGGGATGGGGCCATGCATAATGCATGAGTGTGCGGAGAAACGTCTCTGGCTGGGCATTCTGGTGGCTGTGGGCCCTCCTGTGACAACAACCTGCAGCCAGTGTCAGCTGTGTGACACATCGAGTGTGCAGCTGCCAGACCTGCTGGGTGAGGTGTGCCTCCAGCTTCAGGTGGTGCAGCACCTCCGTGCCTTCCCCAGGCACTCAGCCCTGCTTGGCAGGACACAGCTTCACACCCAACTGGAGAGGTTCCTCTGGATTAGTAAGGACATAGAATCATAGAATATCCTGAGTGGGAAAGGACCCACTAGGATCAACTCCTGGCCCTGCACAGGACGGTCCAACAATCCCACCATGTGCCTGAGATGTTGTCCAAAAGTTTCTTGAATTCCGTCAGGCTTGGCGCTGTGACCAGTTCCCTGTAGAGCTTGTTCCAGTGCCCAAGCACCCTCTAGGTGAGGAACTTTTTCCTAATATCCAAACTAAAACCTCCCCTGACAAAGCTTCATGCCATTCCCTTGGGTCCTGTCACTGGTCACAGGAGAGAAGGGATCAGTGCCCACGTTTGACCCAACCTGGTGGAGCTATTTGATGTCAGTTCATTGGTCCCTATGAGTATTCCCTTTCCCACTCTTTTCTTCTACTTACCATCTCTTGTGTGGTAGTAAGTGACATGCCTGTTCCTGCAGCTTCAACCTCCTGCAAGACTTATTAAAAAAGAAGAATGGAAAGATTCAGAGAAACAGGCCTGTGAACAGTTCATAGAAATGATCCTAAGTATTATCCACATTATAATTATATCTTAATGTGGAAAAGGACTGCAGACTTCATCAAATCCATCTAGCTGACATAACGCTGCTGAGTTACTGATTAGCATTTTCTTGACAGGTGTTTTCAGAGAACCAGCTTCCTTACTTGATTGATGTATCAGTTGGTTTCGAAAGGGTGATGAGAAGCTGCACCATCTATTCCTGGTGACGTTCCCCACTTTAAGGGTGAAAGAGAAGTTCAGTGGCCATAATATGGATGCATGCAGTTAATCTGTAATCTTATTGACAGTTGTGAAGCCTGTTTAATTACAGCTTTATAATGAAAACTTAACTTCAGCCAGTTGGTACCTTCAGTGCTTTCCTGAAAATGGTGTGGGCTGATCTCTCAGCTGGGATGCACGCAATAAAAATCCATCCCAGTATTTGGTTCTTGGTAGGGCTAAAGTCTTGTAAACAAGTCATCATCTGGTGTAACCAAATTAACTAATGGTTTCACAAAACTACACTAACTTAGGAGGAATTTATTTCTTAATTTCACAGAAGATTTCCTGTGAAATTTGAATTTCCTGTGAAATTGCTCAGAAGATTTCCTGTGAAATTTGATTGAAATTTGTCAAGATTTTTTTTCCTCTTTCAGGTTTACTTTCATTTTAATGTGTATCAATTTTTCTTCCAGCACATTCCTGTTGATGGCAATACAACTGTAAGATCAAGAGCTTAAGGTTAGAGGAGAAATCCTCTTAGATGTGCTTCACACTGTTTGTCTGGCAACCATCCCAAAGAACACCTTGACCTAGGGGGTCAAAAAATCCGTGAGACAGTGTGCTCTGCCTACCTGCTGTGCATCACAGAATCATAGAATGGTTTGGGTTGGAAGGGACTTTAAATATTATCTAGTTAGAACCACCCTGCCATGGCCAGGGACACCTTCCACTAGACCAGGTTGCTCGGAGCCATGTCTTTTAAGAACAGGTGGCAACATTGGAGGGCTGCTTTTATTTTCGTTAGGTCTTTGGGAAGTGAGTTCTGGTGAGGCTTTTTTGATATCAGAAGGGATCCTCTCTCCACACTCCGGTTAATTATCACAAATAATATAGGTTTGAACCTTGATTCATTTTGAAAATCTGCAGATTTTCAAATGTTTGGGTGGAATTAGAGAGGGTCCCTGTCTGTTATTTTAGTCCAGGGGCAAATCTTGGGAAAATCTTAGCATTTCCATAGCATTATGTGTGTTCAGGAACTGCATTCAGGGACTCTGCTTCATCTCTGCTCACTTAAGGTGAGAGCAGTATCATCCTCCACAGAAACTGTCTGAGGCAGGTGATGATACAGTTTGATGAGCTGGAGTTGGGTGTTTCTCTGCCCTCTGTGTTTAATCCAGGTCTTGAAGCACCTCTCATGTGCCCATGAAAATAACAACAGCATAATCATTAATAACAGCAAAAATAACATTACTAAATACTAATTAATATAAATAATAAATAATGTGATGATGGGCTTGTGTGAGGTATGGTTGCAGGGCCGATATTTTTATTGCCAATCCTCTTCTGTCTACCCAAGCCCACTCTGGTGCCTCATGTAAGGCAATCAATCAGTCCTTCCTTGCTCATGTTCTGATCTCGCAGATGGAGTAGGATATAATGTGGAAGGTAGACTGCTTCAAGATTTTCCATTTCCCTGGTCCTGTTCTTGCTCCAGATATCTTCTTAGTCTGAAATTTCAAGTTAAGTCTTGGGACAGGTGGATGGTAAAGATGTAGAGCTGAACTCAGGGCAGGAAGTTAATGGGCAGAGCGTGTTCGAGAGGAAGAGGTAGGGAGAGATCCCTCAAGGCTGGAGATAAAGGATAAGGAGATCTGCCTCATGAAACAGCACATGTATTTATTCTTGGCTCTGCTGTACATCACAGCAGTCTCCAGAAGGCACCAAACTGTTCATTCAACTGTGTATCCATCTGTATTACATTAGAATCAGATCTGATGTGGGGAGAGAAGCAATGTCCACATTGGATCCTTCACTGGAGAGAAGAGGGAAGGCCTGGTCCTGCAGCCCATGGTTAAAGCTGCAAGCTGGACTTGCTTTGAGTGTGAGCAATATTTATTTCTGCTCAGAAACCTACAGAATTGTTGCATTTGTTGTCAGATATTTTTGTGACAATGCTGTAAACAAGACAGTTCTTAAATTGCGTTTCCTAATCTTTTCACTCCCAGTAGGTCTGAGAAATGCTTTATGAAGTCATTTATATTTATGAAGTCATGATATTACACTGTGTACATAATTAAAGGCTGTGTGTAGACAGGTTTTTCTCACTTCTCTTTAAAACTAGTATTAGATAGAGAGTGAAGCTGTTCAGTGCACTGATCACATCCAAGGGTGTTATTAGTATGCTGAAGAGCATATGATGTTTTATACAGTCATCAAGACCTTGAGCTTCATCTTAAGGCTGGATACCAGAGGTTTGCCACACTTTTTGTACTGACTTCCATGTAAATGCTGCTTGATGCACGTTCATTTTCCACACAGTGTTGCAGACGTTTTCAGAGGAAGGGAGGGAGAAGCTGTGAAAGAAGTGAATTGTCCAGCCTGTGGTCAGTTGATCCTCATTAATTTTTATCTAAAAATCTTTCATCTTTCTTTGAGATGTGGAATGGAGAGATCCCAATTTCTCTTACAAACGTGCCTTTTGATAACATAACCATGT